ACACACACACACACACACACACACACATTTATCCAGTCACCTATTGAAGGACTCTTTGGTTGTTTCAATGTCTTGGCCACTGTGACTAAGAAGCAACCAACTGCATGGGAGAAGATATTTGCAAATAATACTTCTGATAAGGGGCTAATATCCAAAATGTATGAAGAACTCATACAACTCAACAGCAACAAAAAATTCAATTAAAAAATAGGTAGAGGATTTGAACAGACATTTCTCCCAAGAAGACCTATAAATGCTAACAGACATATGAAAAGATGCTCAACTTCACTAGGGATTAGGGAAATGCAAATCAAAGCCACAATGAGATAGCACCTCAGACCTGTTAGAATGGCACTCATCAGCAGGACAAGTAATAACAAATTTTGGAGAAGTTGTAGGAAAAAAGGAACCCTCATACACTGCAGATGGGAATGTAAATCGATACAGCCACTATGGAAAGCAGTATGGAGAGTCCTCAAAAAATTAAGAATAGAATTACCATATGACCCAGCAATCACTATTCTATGTATCTACCCCTCAAATTTGAAAACATCTGTAAAGGAAAATACTTTCAATGTAAAATTTCACCAATTCTCTCTCTTCTTTCTACTTATTTCACTAAGAAAGACAAGTTTTAATTACACAGGGAATACATAAAAAGCATTCTCATTGTTAAAGATGCTTAGATAAAAAAGGAAAGGAATCCTTACTACCTACCCTTCTTCTCCCTCAGGCTCATTTTCCGTCTCAGTTTGAGGGACATCCTTCAACAGTTTTCTGTACATTATTCACCTGCAGATGTGCATACATAGTATATTGTTTTATCTTTATTTTTAAATCGCAGATTCTATCATACTTTATGGATTATTCTATAACTTTCCTTCTATACCAAATAATGTATCTCGAAGAGGTATTTCATGGCCTGTCTGTATCTGTCTCTACATACATGAGAATATCTGCCCCATTCTTTTAAACTAACACGTTGTTTTCCATAATATCACAATTTAGCGAACCGGACTACTGTCAGTGAAAATGCTGGTTTTGCTCCTTTTGTAACATTTTGAGAGAAAAGGTGTGTACATTAAGTGAATGTTGCCAAATTGTTTTCCAGAGTGGTTAAACCACTTAATCCATGGACAATGTGTTAGAGATCTTTCTCCTTACATTCTTGCCAATATTCCGTATTATCAGTTTTCATAATTTTTTTTTACCTATCTGATGGGGGAAAACATGGTATCTTAGGTGTTAAATGTGCATTTCTACTGATTTTGGGCATATTTCTATTTGTTTAATGGCCACTTATTCCTCTGTGAATTGTCTACGCATATCCTTTCCCCACGTTTCTATTGGTTTATTATTGTCTTATTTATTTGCAGATTTTTCTATTTGTATTTTGTATGTTAATCCTTTGAACACCATTTCTTGTGGCCAGTCATTTGTCCTTTTCTTTCTTCCTTAATTAGTATCGTTTCTTTTATGGAAGTTAAAGACTTTTATGTAGACAAATTAATCTTTTCTGTATAGTTAATGCTTTTTCTCTTTTGCTTAAGATGGCCTTTCCTTTCATGAAGATATTCTCCAAGATTTTCTTTTAATAATTTAAAAATTTGGATTTACACATTTGGAATTTTAGTTCAACTAATTTATAGGTGAAGTGAAGCAGTAATCTTAATTTCCTACATCAAGAATCACATATTTAAAAGCACATCTTTTTGACATTAATTTGTAATATTACCGCTATCATATACCAGCATTACATATGTTCTGAGTTTTCTTTCTTGGCTGTTGAGATTTGTTGATCTTATTTTAAAAAAAAAAATTTAATAAACTTTATATTTTTAGAGTAATTTTAGATTTATGGAATGATTATGTAGATAATACAGAGAGTTTCAATATACCTTATACCTTGTTTCCTGGATCATTAACATCTTATCTTAGTTTGCTACATTCAGTTAATGAATCAACACTGATACAT